GATGCCTCCAAAGGACCTGCCTGAGGCTCTTTTATAGATAATTTTTTTATATATAATTAGGAGAAATATACTCTAAGCAATAAAAAGTGTAATATAATAAATACATAAAGCAGGACCATAACATAGTCATTTATTAACATTATCAAGTGTTCTGTACTTCACATAACTGCACTGCCAGACGTTTGTGCCACCAGCAGTGCAGGTAAAACTGCGCCACCTCAGACCCACGGTAAACACATGGCACTGCGGTGTTATGACAACTCCAGGGAACAGGCATTTCCAGTTCCATTATACTCTTATGGGACCATTGTTGTATATGGGGTCTGTCATTGACCACAATGTGTGGGGTGTGACTATGGGTTACATTTGGATATGTTTAGTATATTTTAACAAAATGTTCAAATCTCTAACCTAATACATGAATTCTGCCTAGTAGCTATCTAACCTGTCACTTTACAGTAAAATCCATTAAAAAATACAAACTGTCAGTCCTGGGCAGAAGATCACTGTTCCCGTGCATGGGGTTCCCTAGTTTAGGGGACACTCCCTGCCTTCCTCTCTGTCAATGGAGTTACCCTTTTGGGGTCTGTGCCATTATCCGTTGCTCCCAGAATCCTCTACAGCTTCCTTCTTATTCTCCGTCTGCTCAGGACCAGCTCAGGGGCTCCACTCTTAACCTAGAGAGTAGGGCTGTCTTCTGCTTCTGACCTCACTGTCCATTTTACATCCCCTTCTTCCAGCACGACTGAGAGGTGTCATCCTGACATGGTGGGAATGCACTTGTAAGCTGTTCTCAGTTCTCAACTGTCCCTCCAGAGTCCTCTCAAAGGAGCACTTTCCCCATGTATATATCACACGAAGACACTACCCTGAGGGTCAGATGATCTGGGTGCTGCTCTCCTGCTGAACAAGCCCTGTGATGGGGGAGAGATGGTTCGTGTGGACCTCAGTGTCTTCCTCTGACAAATGAAGAACTGGATCCCTTCTAAAGCCCCACAGAACACTAAACTACAGAGTTTGTAACTGTTCATTTCAACCAATACAATTAAACTCTCATGCTGAAAACTACACTAGGTACTGGAGACATGAGCAAGAGTCACAGACGGTCTCAGCCTTCACTGTGTTTAGGGCATGTTGGGAGGTACAGAACTACACTGAGCAGGGGGTAAGGGTGCTGTTAAAGTGAGTTTGCAGACACCACTGCTCAGTCTTTAGGCCAAGATCAAGTGTAGTTGGTCTGCAGGGAGGAGGGAGAGACTGCATGGGGGAAGTGATGTCTGAGTTACGGTCCAGAGAAATTGGGATCCATGACAGGAAGGAGAGTTGATAAAAGAGCATTTCAGGCAAAGACTGTTGTGCAAAAATGCCCAGAGGGCTGGGCATGGTGGTGGCACACATGTGGTCCCACCTACACAGGAGGCTCAGGCAGGAGGATCACTTTCGTCCAGAAGTTCCAGAGTAATCTCAGCTACATAATCAAACCCCATCTCAAAAAGTAAAAAATAAAAAGCCTGGAAAACATGAGCAACTGCAGGGGTTTTGCTGCCAGAATGTGGACTGGAGAGCGGGGGACAAATACTTAATAACTGTGAATCTGAGTCCTGCTAACACAAGAGATGGGCAGAACAGACTGGTACAAGTTAGATGATAAAATGGGCAAGGAGATTGTATTTTGAGCTGATAACAGTGATGCGTCACTGAGAAATTATTAACACCAAAATGACAGAGTCTGTATTTTCTCCAGCTGTGGCACGGAGAGTAACTTCAGAGACATGACAGTAAACTAAATCCAGGGACTTAGTGTAGGGAAAAGGGGTGAGTCAGCAGATGCTGAGGCCATGATGTGGAGGGGCTGGAGCAGGTGAGTCTGTCCTGCGTGGTCAGATGGGTGATGCCGAGATCAGAGGGTAAAATAAAGGGCTGGGTGTGGAGTTGAATTAGGGGAGTTTAGGATTTGAGGGGCTGTGGGGTATACTTGGAGATAACCTGTAGACCGCTGGGTCAGGGGAGGGTTCATGCTGCGGTCCTGACTGGACAGCAGCCTCAGAAACACTGGTTTGTGATAGAAGAAGGGACAGCCAGCCACAGAACCCTGCAGGAGACCAAGTTTAAGGGACAAGGCTGGGAAGTGGAGCGTACGAAGGAAATGACACGATGCACGGGGCAGACCATGAAGACAAGGTGCCACAGAGCCCAGGAAATGCTGTTTCCAAAGGAGTAGTCAGGCCAGGCGCAGCGGCTCAGCCTGTGATCCCAGCACTCTGGGTGGCCAAGGTGGATGGATTGTTCGAGCTCCCAAGTTCAAGACCAGCCTGAGCAAGAGTGAGGCACCATCTCTAAAACCAGCCAGGTGTTGTGGTGGGCACCTGTAGTCTCAGAGATATGAGAGGCAGAGGCACGAGGATCACTTGAGCCCAAGAGTTTGAGATTGTTGCTAGCTATGATGTCATCGCCCTCTACGGGGGCCAAGAAAGTGAGGCTCTGTCTCAAAAAAGAGTAGTCTATAGTCAGGTGCCAGAGAAAAGTGAGAGTGAAGCCATGAGGCAATGGTGGGTGGCCTTGCCTAGAGCAAGGAGCCAGAGTGCAGTCACTGAGAAGTCAGCCAGAGACAGGACAGCTGCTTAGGAGACTGTACCTCTGATGGGGGTGGGGGTTGCAGTGACTGCAGCAGGTTGGGCAGGAGACAGTCAGGAAATTAGGTGCTGATGGGAATGTGATGGGAGAAAGGAGGTGGTCTCAGTATCTGGGAGGGGATCTGGTAATGGAGCCAGGTTCCTGGGATGGTCAACAGCCCATTCGGATGGAAAGCTGGGGGAGGGGGACACGGGTCTTCCTGAGTGGCACAGAACAACTAGGTCTATCTTGGATGGTGCAGACAACTTTACTGCTGCTGGCTTTCATTTCCTTGGAGACAAAAAGAGGTGCCGACCTCCCCTGAGAGTGTTACTGTGGGTGTTTAAGAAGATGGGAAATAGACATCTTTGAAGAAGGATTGCGTGCGTGAGGGCCCCGCTCAGACTGGTGAAACTGGCCGCTGTTTTTGGGCTTGGGTTGAGGTTTCACTCAGTGGACGTGGAGCATAAAGACAGTCTAGAGAAGGGGAGGTGATGGTTGGTGTGGGGGAGTCAGGGGCCGCAGGGGCCGTCTCCTAGTGAGTCTGATGAGGGTTAGAACGAGCTGTTTACTATTTACGTTTAACCTCCCAGAGGCACACTAAGGGGGTAGCTGCCAGAATCCAGCTGTTGCCCTGGAGGTGGGTGGCCGAGTGGTCACAGTGAACGTGGACCCGTACGTGTCTCTGTTCCTACGGCAGCACCTGAGTCACCACTCACTTGGTCCTTTTTTTAGTTACCCTGGTAAAAGAGGCCTTATGATTTTATTCTCTAAATCCTCTTGAGTTATTGATACTTTTGCAAAACTGTGTGTGTCTTCAAACATTTGTTTTAACTGCGGGTTAAACAGATCACCATGTAACTTTGTCATCATTTCTGTAGCTTGTATAAGGAGAGCTGCAAAAGGAGCTGTTTGATATGTAGTAATTTAAAAAGAAAACCAAGGCAAGGGGGGTAGAATCCACCAAATTCATGGTAGGAGTTGCTTCAGGAGAGAACAAAAAGAACCTGTCCTTTATCTGAAATGTTCCATTTGTCTTAATACTGTGGAGAGGGGAGATGACAATTTTAACATTTATTCTTTTTGGACATAGGGATGTTTATTTTGTTATTCATTGTACTGTCTGTGCCAAAAGGAATTGCAGCAGCAAACCCTGCCAGCAGTTTAAACTTTAACTCCTAGAACCTGCTGGATAATCTTATGACACTGCGGGGCCGTGGGCTGAGCAAAGACAGTGGAACACTGTGGAGGGGCTCAGGCAGGTGCTTCACCCTGTTTATCCTACAGCGTCCCAGCACTAGAGTTCAAGGTCAGGAAACATGGGCTTCGATGTTAAATAAATTGCCCATAACTATAACTTCATACCACTTGGTAAAGAAAGGTCTGGAACTCAAGTCTCTGACAGCTCTTCTGTATTATATGAGTATAGCTTACTTGTGCCACCATCTCACACCTATTCAATTAATCTGTGCTGTCTTCTGTGAAGCCCCCAGCTAAAGCTTAACGGTGTCGATGACATGAATTCTCACAGTCCACAAACATATGTCTTCCTGAAAACTTACCTATAAAGTGAAGTTCGTAGTACCATTATTTTCACACCAACTTTCCAAGTATGTGAGTGTGTGTTAACTTCTGTAGCAGGTGTGTTCCTACAATATTGTGGCAAAACTCAACATGCTAAGATGCCACAAAATGAAGGCTGCTTGTATTGGCTTGACATTTCTTAAAAGTAAATTTAACTATTATAATAATTACATTTTTTTAATTATAGGATGTGAAGTTACCCCAGATGTAAACATTTCAGGCCAAAAATTTAACATTAAACTCCTGATTCCAGTAGCAGAGGGCATGAATGAGATCTGGCTTCGGTGTGACAATGTAAGTTTTGCAGTTGAATGCACACTTAGCTTTCTTTGATTTTTAAGTGAATCGAGGAGGCATCCTTATAATTTTATGCTCAGAAGACCCACCACGTGAGTCCTTCACATGTCATTGTTTCTTTAACAGGAAAAGCAGTATGCGCACTGGATGGCAGCCTGCAGATTGGCCTCCAAAGGCAAGACCATGGCAGACAGTTCTTACAACTTAGAAGTTCAGAATATTCTTTCCTTTCTGAAGATGCAGCATTTAAACCCAGATCCTCAGTTAATACCAGAGCAGATCACAACCGATATTAACCCTGAATGTTTGGTGTCCCCTCGTTACCTAAAAAAGTATAAGAACAAGCAGGTACTTGATTTATTGTATTTCATCTACTGTGTTCTGCTGGTTTGTTTTATAATTTTGCATATATACTTTAATTTTCTCCTCTTAAAATTTTTTAGTCTTAATTGATAGTCTTTGCTCTATATCAAGTGGTTAGACTATAAAATATAAGTTGAGTTTCCCTAATGGGAAAATCTGAAAGCCTACAAAATCTGCAGCTTTTTGAGATAACTCTCAAAAGAGATGCTCATTAGAACTTCAGATTTTCAGATTAGGGATGCCCAACCAGAAAGTATAATACAAATAACACAGCTATGTGGGTGACCACCTCCCTAAGTTGACCTCATTTTTATAGACTGGACATACACCTCATGTCCGTATCAGTACAGCAGGCCTCCTTCCTTATGCTGACCCCTCCCTATGCTGACTGGTGGGTCACAGTTCTCTGGTGGTCAACTCACAGGTTCTACTGTTTTCTGAAATCCAAAACACATTTCAGAGAAGGGTTCTCAGCTTGTATGAAGTAAGTAGACTTCAGTCAATTTAAATTGGTCATTTAAAAAACCTTTTGTCATTTTAATAAAAGGAATAATGAGGTGGAATTAGTTGAGAATATATTTATTCTAAACAACTTGAAATCATTCATTGGCAGGATGTTCTCTCAAACATTTCCAGGAATTGAACATGTTCTTAATGCTTTGTGTTCCTTAATTCATTCAGTTTAATCCTTATATAGTTAAACAAATGTGTGGTACAAAGTAAAGCCAGCATTTCCCCACAAAATCTGTAATACCTCTCCTTGCTGTTCAAGTGGACGTTTCCAGTTTTGGAAAGAAACTTGACAAGGATAGGAACAGTCTACATTTTAACAGTGTCTTTTCTTACCAGAACCTAACCAAAAATTTTCCCAAGATTACAGAGTTTGATAAATTTTCTTTGAAATTCACTGCTTTTGACCACTCTGTTTAGAATCCTTTCCTGGAAATTAAGGCCATAAAAGGATTGCTATTTAGGAAAATCGTTCTCTGGTACAACATAAAAGGTCCTTTTCAGAGGAACGTCACTCGGGCTAGCCCCCACGCACTCTGCACCAGACATCAGCCGTAAAAGGAAAAGACTCCTGTGTAGGGTGGGTTGGGCAGGGAGGATAGACCTTTAAAATAAATATTTCATTTTTATCTAGTTTCACTTGTATCTTTTAGGAATAATTTTAAAATATACTGAAAAGGCTCAATGAAATACTCAGAACAGTTATTAATTCCTTAACTTCAAATGCTAGTCTGAAATCATTAGTTAGAAGCTCTCAGAAGTGTTACTCATAGATACTTAACTTTAAGTTTCCGAGGTTGTGTAAGCTGGAAAGAGTTAGTACGGTAGTCACACGACGTGGGAGTAGTAAGGAATGGAGGAATGCTGCCCCGGGGAGCTGTGTGGAATGTAGATGATAAGTTAAAAAGGGAAAGTGAAGCAAGTACTGATTTTATTTCAATTTTTATTCTTAGTTATTTCATTTTAAAATTATTTGTAAAGAAAGTTGTTTCTAAAGTTTGCCTTCAGAGGCAATGAATAATTTCAAATCTTAGCAATTCTATCATTTCTCTATCAAGTTTCAAGAAAAACAGGCTTAGAGTGTAATTGTGAGGATTGCCAAACACTGGCTTCCCTGTCAATTCTGTGCTGTTTTCTCGAAGCCTATATAATGATAGTTTTTACTCCCTAGTTCTTGACTAGAAATTGTCAACTAAAAGTTCCCATGAGGACAGAGGTGACCTTTACTCAACTTTAAGGGGAAAGACTGTGTCTGGTCGGTGGTTAAGAATCCTGATCTGGTCTTCCCTGCTGGCATCCTGCCAAGTACACACTCCCTTTTAAGCCCTCCTTTCTCTAATTAGACTTTCAGATTGTTCCCCAATGTAGGGAGGGAACAAGTGTTACCGCCCTGACACCTTGTAAATGGTGATCCTGAAGAGTTTCAGTTGGTCCTGTGTGGGGGTCCTGAGCTGTTCAGTGGAGAGAGTGCTCAGAATTGTTGGGCCAGACTGGTGCATTCTCAGGCACTGGACGCCGTGGGGGCGGCAGCGTCATCATTCCCAGCCAGAGCATAAGCATGTGGTTTCCTTGGGGTCCATCACTATAACTTTGTTTATCTTGAATCTATTTTAATTCCCTTCAATTATGCATATGTTAACTAAACTTGCTATTGGTATTTTAAAGTAAATATAACTTTCAAACTGGATTTTTTTTTAATTTAAATTAAAAAATTTTTTTTTTTTGCTGTGCTATCCAGACTGTTCTTAAACTCCTGGCATCAAGTACTTCTCCTACCTTGGCTTCCCATAGTGCTGGGATTATAGGCATGAGCTACAGCGCCTGGCCATGGATTTTTAAATTTTAAAGAAAAGAGTTCTTTTATCCACATTGAATTATCTAATGAGTTTATAGCCACAGTCTCTAGTGTAGTGTACGGCATCTCTTTATTTTTCCTTCTAGGAAAAAGGATGCAAAAAGCAGATGGTAATTCAGGGGTTTGCTTTTCTTATGTAAAAGAACAGTTTGGGCACTGCACTTGTTTTATGCCTTCAACTCCTTATTTCTGAAAAGCAGTGCATGGATATTATCTGACTAAATCTGAGGAAACTCTAAAGGCTTTTGAAATATTAATTTTTGTCTTGCTACTAAAATAATTAGCTTTGCCCTAATCAGTAAGAACTGGAATATAAGGGGGGAAAGAGGTATTCGCTCTTACTATTTTCTCCCTACAAATTTCCACCCTTAATTTTTTAGTAACATTTAACATTCTAAAATACTACGGAGTGTTTTTCAGTATTCTAAATGGAAAGTAATTACTGCTTCCTCATTTTCATTTTCATTCTTGCATTTACTGTGCTTGGTTTCCACCTGACATAATTTTTTGCATGGTTTTTGGCTGGAATTTTGGTTTGCAGGTTACCGCAACTTTTTCTTTGCTTCATTGCCGTTTTTTCTGATTGCCTCTTTTTTTTTTCTTTCCGCTTCCTTTTCCCTTTCTTCGCCTTGCCATCTACAGCCAGGCTATATAAGAGATTTGGTAAGTTCTCTGTATTTGCCAAAAAAAAAAGTTAAATTAAAAATTTAAAATTCCATAGTTGCAGCCTTCCCTCACGGATTTCATCCCTGGTGAGCAGTTGTCCCAAAGTGATCAAATGTAAATAAATAACTTTTCTAATGATAACTTTAGAAATTTTAAATTGTTACTATGGCGATTTCAAGTATTCTAGAGCTGATGAGAATATTCCTTCTAGATGCTTGTATTCCAGGTATTTATCCTGACCGTAGATACTGGTGCCGAATTTGCTTATGGGCTCGTCCTGTATGTGTGGATTAGAGCGAGCTGTTGCTTAGCAGGGCCTGGAGCACTCTGAGTGGGTCTCAAGTGTGGTGATTAGATACTCCTGTTAGTACTTTGTTTCTTGATATATGAAAACTGAAATAAATATATTTTATTTTGAAAGTCATTATTAAAACTCTCAAATGTAGCTGCAGATACGTTCTAATTTCACCTCTTGCAGTATATGATTGGGGGGGATGCATAATTCAATCTTTTGATCCTTTTTGTCTTGATTTCACAATGAAAGAAATAATGTCTAATGGTAAAGGTGATGTTTAATTATATTTAGATAACAGCAAGAATCTTGGAGGCGCATCAGAATGTGGCTCAGATGAGTTTAATTGAGGCCAAGATGCGATTCATCCAGGCGTGGCAGTCCTTACCTGAATTTGGCATCACACACTTCATTGCAAGGTCGGTGTAAACCTTCATCTCTACATTCTTGCTCAATCTACTTCATGTAATTAAAAAATTACATAATTAAAGCATACCTATCTAGACCTATTAGCCTGTTTTACAGAAAAATTTAAAGAATACTAGAATTTTCTAAATAATTTTACATTAAAAATCCAAAATAGAAGGCTGTGACCAGTTTGATGGAAGTATTTCGGATTGCATGTGAAAACCCCACACTGTACCCCAGAAGTGCATTAATGTACATAGTTACCATTCAATTAAAA